ATGGGGGTCGCTGGTGCCCATGTCCAGCAATCACTGTGCGAGGGGCGGGGTACACCCTGGACGGGTCGCAAGTCCATCACAGGGCCACATAGAGACAAACGAGACAAACAACCATTCACTCTCTCATTCACACCTAGGGACAATTTAGAGTTACCAATCAGCCTAACATGCATGTTTTTGGTCTGTGGGAGGAAACCGGAGTACTTGGAGAAAACCCACGCATGCACGGAGAGAACATGCAAACTCCACCCAGAAAGGCCCCTGGACCGGGGTTTGAACCAAGGACCTGCTCGCCGAGAGGCAGCAGCTCTACCAGTTGTGCCACCGTGCTGGTGTGTGCGTGATATTTAATTCAATTCAATTCAATTCAAAAATACTTTATTAATCCCAAAAGGAAATTATTTGTTGCTGTAACTCGTTATCCTCATTTCATTAAGAGATGTTATAGATACTGATGTTTGTAGGCAGGAAGGATCTCTTGTAAAGATCCATCCCACAGTGGATCCTAGGAAACTGGCTGCAGATGCCGTCCGATCCGTCCACCCAGACTCAGCTGGCTTCTCGGTTCCCCCGGGCTGTAGGACCGCCTGAATGCCGGGCAGAACTCCTCCCAGAGCGATGGTCACTCCTCCCAGCAGCAAAACTGGCTGATCCACTCTGAGAAGGTGCTATTTAAGAGACTGAGCTGAAAACAGCAGCTCAGACTGAGGAAGTCTCTCGGATGAGAGACGAAACGTTTCTACATTTTTTTTGCTTTGTTTTGTTTTTTGTTTTTTTGAATGTCCAGAGGACCAGATTGAACTTTCTTGGATTTTTCTACCTGGATTATTGAGCATGCATCAGGATATTTCCAGGATCTCAGTGGTCAGGCACTCGAGCACAGCTGGCAGGTAGATGAGAATGCATCCACAGAACATCCTTTTCCACTCATTTGAGATTTGGGGCTGTAGTTGAGATATTATTTGAGTTTTTGAGATGTTAATCAGCTGCTGGTTGTAGAAAACTGCCTTGTTGCCGTGGTTACGCATCATAACAAATGTCCAAAACTAAAAAAGTTTCAGTAAAAATCCTTCCAGCTGCACAGCATCTGATACCAGAGGAAACAATCATCCAAAAAATGTGATTTACATCCAGAAAAAGAGGAATGAAAGTTTCCAAAAGCAAAATCTCAGAATGAAAGTAACAGAGCTGCTCCAACATGCAGCCACCTTGAGTGGCGCAGTTCTAGAAACTATTAGTTAGTTTCTAGAATCTAACTAATCACAACTACAGTGTATTTTTTAGTTAGCTGTTTTATATATCTTAGGTAACACAACATTTTATGAGGTTTTCTTGTATAAAGCCCAACAAAATTAGCAACAAAAAAAAAAACATAT